AGATTGACAGAGTAGTGCTTGATTGTGGTAGCAGAAAATTAAAGTCAAGAGAATTGTGGGCTCCCCTTATATAATAGTGTTGTATTCATTTATTTGTAAGTTAAAGGGATATATTTAAAATATTTGCTTAAGTACCTACCTTTGTCATTAAATGTTCATTCACAAGTCATGTAGAGAAGAATTCTGAATAGTAGGTTCTTCTGTTTCAGTCTGTCTTGCAGATCATAAAGCCACGGGTTCAGGATCCAGTAAACTTCTTGCTGCTGCATATTAATAAAGACTTAGAGCAGCTGATGAATACTCTTGGGAAGAGTGCTGATGAAACCACTAATGTCATCCATCTCATTCTGTGCAGCCTTTCCAAGGACCAACATGCAGGACAATGTAAGGAGAGCAGCTTGCTGAATGTTGCTTACATTTCAAGACATAAGATTATAGTACATGGTTTAATAATATACTTTAAATCAGGGGTCTTCAAACTTGTCCCTTTTATGACTTGTGGACTTCAACTCCCAGAATTCCTCAGCCAAGCACGCTGTCTGAGGAATTCTGGGAGTTGAAATCCACAAGCCATAAAAGGGCCAAGTTTGAAAATCCCTGCTTTAAAGGAACTAGGAGGACCAGTGATCAAGAGTGATTAAATATTATACCCATAAGAAATCACTGTCAGTGGGTGATTGGCATACTTGGCTTTTCATCTGATTTCAAAGTCAAACTCATTTCATTAAGGAATTTAGATGTGATAAATAACTTATGTATGTCCAAACGTTTTTGATGATATTTCCTCATTAACCTGCATAATACTGCATGATAATTGTTGTGATAATAAACAATGAGAGGGAATAAAAATAATGGTGTGTAAAACTCACCCACCAATATTTTCTGTGGACATATTTTTTTTTACAACCCAGTAACTTGCATTGTTCGTTTTAAATCTTGAGCCCAATGAATTCCATGTGGTTTCTTGTATAGGTTTGGGGAAACCACTTCTGTATCTGTAATTCAACTGTACGTTGAAGTGTTTCACTGTGGAAAGAATATGTAGTCCATGCAGAACTCTTTGTACTATTCTCTTGTCACCATAGCAATATAAGGAAGAAAACGGGTTTATTTTATTTCAGAAATTGAGATACACCCCTCTAAAAAATCTCTGAGTTTTTCTTCTGAGTCAAAGAAGCAAAATAACTGGCTGGTTGGGGGCCAAATAAATGCAATAAATCTTTTGCAGGGCCAGTACGTTTTGACAGTCAGCTTTCCACGAAGCAGTACAGAAACAGTTGGGAAGAAAGTGTTGCACGCACCATTATTCTACCTGAACTAAAGGTAAAAAAAAAAGGAAAAAAATGCTTCCAAAGAATACATTTGTTAGTCAAGACAAATAATAGATATAAAACTATAAATTATTTATTATCAATCTCTCTGTCTCCTCTATATGTGTGTGTATGTGTGTGTGTGTGTGTGTGTGTATCTGAATAAATGAGAAATGTGACAGCTAATTCAGCTAAACAATTGTAGGCAACAATATTCACTAATTTTAGAAAGGATTTCTAGCATGCTGTTAACAAGCCAGGCTGACTTTTAAATGAAAGAAGGTTTTATATGCTTTATAGCGCATAAACAGTGACACTGGGCAAAATGTGGGTTACACATAAGAAAAACAGTATGTGTTCTTTTTCTGGCTGTAGACATAAAGTCAGCTGGCAATACTGTCTTGAGTCTATACATCATATTAATGTTATATAAAGGTATTAGTTGGGGCTCTATCATGTGTTATATTAGCAGTATGTAACATCAATTGCTAGAAAATAAGAAATTGCTGCTATCTTCCTCAATGATCTGAAATAAGCAAGGTATTAATAAGCAAGGTATTAATAAGCAAGGTATTAATTAGTTCTGTTTAATTCATTAGTTTTGAGTATACTTCATGCCAAAAAGAGAGAGTGCTGGCATATCCTCCATTTTAACTTTCCCCCAATCCTATACTTAAGAATGAATATATATATATATATTCAGCAACTCAGCATCCCCATGATAACTATAGTGCTTGGGGTGAGCTCTGGATATTGTATAGAGCTGTGTTCCAGATCACAACAGACAAGGAAGATAATGTGTCAGGCTCCCAGGAACCAGGAACAACACATGGAGTTAATCCTGAGTTGTTTCCTTTATTGTTCTGCTAGACTAAAGCAACTATCTGCATAGCTACATATATACTCTATATATCTGTAGAGGACTCCCTATGCTACGGAGGAGGTTTTTTAATCCTCTTCCTGCCGACCAAACTTTACAATCTCTGCTGCCTGTTTCCCCTTTGGAAAGCAGCCCCAAACTACGTTCCACCAGATATTTTTTTTTTTTTTTTCAATTTTTTTTTTTTATTATTTTCAACATAAGAAAGAGAACACATCACAAGTACATCACAATTGAAACCCCCCCCCCACCCCCCACCCGGACTTCCCAAACCTGATCCCAGGATACTATTCATCTAAAAGTAACCTTATATTAATATCCCTAACTCCACAAAATATAATTCTACATAAGTAGGTGAAATATATATATATGTATAAAAAGAGAAATTTTTTTTATCTAAAAACCTAACCTATATTCCACCATTCTATGCTTATTTTGAATATAAACGATCCATCTTCTCCATATTGATAAAAAT